ATTTAAATTTCTGATAAAATTTATTACTTTAAAATTTTTATTTATTGTTGTTTTTCTTATTAGGTTTAGCAGCGCCAAGTGTTTTTACATAAAAATTATTTTTTTAAGATTTAATTTTTTTATTTTGCATTCTAAGTACATACCTGTTACTCGGGTTGTAAATTAATTATTTTATGAGAGTATAATTTGACGCCAATTATTGACAACAAATATATTTTATACAGACGATATACACATTACTTAGGTTGAATAACATAATTTTTATTTAACTTTACGCCATTTACTGATATCAAATCTTTTATACAAATAATAGTAATTGAATAATAAGACACCGTACATAATTTTTATTTAACTTGACGCCATTTACTGATATCAAGTCATTTATAGAGGTAATAGTAATATACAAATCACTGAAGTAAAGTTAGTTAACATCAAAATATAAAGAAGGATACCATTTAAGTTTTATGTTTTAAAAAATTATATTTAATTTTGATACAAGTTTTTTTTTCAAGGAGAGCGGTTTAGTAATTTAACTTGACGCCATTTACTGATATCAAGTCATTTATACAGGTTATAGTAATATACATATCACTGAAGTAAAGTTAGTTAAGGGCCCTTCCTAGTCAGCCACGAACTCCGCGTTGACGGTGGCGACGTTATATCGCGATAGAAATTAGAAGCTTCTTGTCGTATATTAGGCCCGTCCTATAATACGTCATATATCGGTGTTTTAAGTCATAAACCGTGATAATTCTACAGAATAATTGTATGCCGATATCGTCCGCAGTGTAAAACCGTGTAAAATTGATCAAACACAGTCAAATATGAAGAGAATACTTGACAATTGAAGAAAATAACCGACCTACTCTGAAAAGTGTTGACAACGAATTTTGTGTTGCGTGCCATTTCGTTATTATGTGCTTAATTGTGAAAATGTGACTTGTCTCGTATTTATCAAAGTCATAAAAATGGATGGAAACTATAGTTATTGTCAAATTTTATACGTAAAGTATCTTTTCCGTTCCTTTCAACAGCTA